TACCTATCTGGACTCTGACCATGCCTTGGTCTGCGCCAACCTTACCTTACTTTTCAGTGGCCAACGAAGTGACCGCCACCAAAGAATTGATGTCAGCATGTTGGTTGCAACTTCTGTTGCTAGTAAGTACCGAACCGAGCTAGCTTCTAGGCTAGCTACCAATCCACCGAAAAGTATAGATGAGCATTGGTTGCAACTTCACGACGCCGTGAATATGGCGAGTAAAGCCGCTTGTGGCTTCGCAAAACGTCCCGCTTATAAGCACTGGGTTTCTTCTGGTTCCTTACAACTCATTGAAGCCCGTCGGTCTACTCCGGGCAACCGTGAGTTTGACCACAAATGAAGACTGTTACGTAATGAAATTGAGCAAAGCTTGCGTAAGGACCGAGAAGCCCGGTGGTCGGAGCATGCTAATGAGCTGGAAGCAGCAGCTGCATCTGTTAAGTATGCAGATGATATTGTCTTACCGTGCGATAATGCCCAAGGCATGCAATCCGCACTTAATCAGTTGGAAATCAATGTCCGTAGGTACGGTATGTGTTTTGCATCTTCGAAGTGCAAAGTACTTCTACAATACTGGCAGGGCCCTGATCCTGCACTCACCCTGGATGGCGAGAAGATAGTAGTCGAGAAGTTCGTGTATCTAGTTAGCTGTATAATTGCTGCTGGTGGCGTGAGTGATGAGATCAATTCACGAATAGTGAAAGCCAGAGCGGCTTATGCCAATCTGGGCCACCTTTGGCGCCTTCGTGATGTTAGTCTGGCTGTAAAAGGCCGGATCTACAACGCGTCGGTGAGAGCAGTTTTGCTCTATGCTTGTGAAACTTGGCCTCTCTGAGTTAAGGATGTCAGACGACTCTGTGTTTGATAATCACTATCTCTGAAGGATTGCTGGTATCCAGTGTCGACACCATGTTAGTAATGCAGAGTTTTGACGCCGTGTGCTCGGGCGCACAGACGGTAATGCAGTCGGCGTCACCATCTTGAAACACCGACTTCGGTGTCTTGAACACGCACTACAAATGTCGCCCCAGAGAATTCCTCGTCATGTATTATATACCGACTCAGGGACTAGTTAGAAAAAGCGGAGAGGTGGTCAGTGTATGACATGGTGTCGTGGGATAAAAGAAAGTTACAAAGGACTGGCTTCTGTTGGTCCTTCACGACTCCCTGGCTGGGGTCCTAGAAATGGTGCAACACAGTGGCTAGAGAAGTTATGAGATATGGCTCAGAATAGAAGTTAGTGGTGATCCTGCTGTAACCTTCTTGATAAAAAGTGATTGTATCTTCCTTAACTTAAAGATTTCTCCTGGTTATACCCTTCCGTTTCCCCCACTATTATTATTGTTATTATTACACTTCCTTACACTAATCTAGTCGTTATTGTTCCTCTTTTTTCTCTACATTTTCATTGTTTTGTGTGGTGCATATATATCTGGTACCCCTTGTACCAATATTTATGTGTTTAAATAAATAAATGAATAATGGTTTAATTATCTCATATTGTTATGGCTCAAAGAGACAGCTGATTTTATGACAGTGACTTATCGATCGGATCGAGGATTCAGAATCTCGATAGACTATTCTGGTCCGTTGTCCCCGACTCTGCTAACTCGATCAAAAAGTCTGGGTAAGGTGTAGAAAGTGTATTCTACAGACAAACAGCAGATAACAAGTCAGGCAGGCAGATCAGATCAAGCATACAAGTCAAGCGTATTTATACAAATATTTACAATCGATATTGTCATGGAAGATTTTGAACATTAATCAACAATTGACTGCTATTTGAACATTTAATCGATAGTTCATCAATTGACCTATTTGTACATTTAATCGATAGTTCATCAATTGACCTATCTGCACATTTAATCGATAAGTAAATTACAAAATTTGAGTTTTGGGGATCTATCGTCCCCAACACATATCCAATCCTCTAGCGGTAGGATGGCAAGTGCGAATTTTAGTTTCCTCTATTATTTCACTGATATCTATCAAAAGAATTGTTATGTATGATCAGCAATTTGGATTTCACAAACGTTTCAAGACTTAAATATTTCTGAACAGGTCTAAACTAGTGTAAAACTAACTTCCTATTTCTAACTAGCTTTTGTTGACCAAACTATTACGTGTTATTTCATCTTTAAGTAGATAGTAAATGTTTTACATCTATGAGTCTGTTTGATTGTTTTATTTTGTTCATACTTATACTTTCCTATTTTGATTGTACTGTTACAGTAATAGACTATTGTTGCAAAACCTAAGTAGTACCACTGTAATACTTTATCTTTCCTATTAAGATATCTCAGAATTAAATTTGTTAAGAAATAAATATGGATGACAGCTCTAATCGTATTTTATTTCATAAAATAAGCTTAAATTGCAAATCAGCCTGTAAATATTCATTGAATGATAAAATCATATTATTTGAGTTCGGTTCTGTGTTAATTGTTAGGTAAGTGACTTGGGAATTATGTATGAAGCCATGTAAAATCACAAATCTAAACGAAGATTTAGAAATGTACACAACTTTTTGTTCTGATTTCAGTTTGCTTAGCTATCTCACCCTTAAACATATCAGTGGTCAAACGCAGGATCCTAAGGTTATCGGGTGTGCGTTTACTCTGTAGACCACTGAGCATTCTTCACTACAAAAACCAAGAAATCGGTAGTGAATCGACTCATAAAAAAGCTGTTGAGTTGAAAATTGAGAACTACTGATACGCTAAATTCCAGTCATATTGATATGTATAGTTTTCAGGTAACAGCGAAAGCATTAGTTACTGACTGAAGAAAAGTGACATACAATGGATTCTGAAATGGTTGTCATTCAAGAATACAGGATATTAAGAGGCTTTTTAAGGCAAACAAAGAACTGCTGGTAACAAAGGTCAAGAAAAGGACGAGGTTGTTGGTCTATTGTTGTTCGGTAGTAGTTTAAACGTTATAAAATGGCGAGTTCATTCTGGTTCGTGAAAAATGTATGTTCATATTACCATGTAGTTCATCAGAAAAAATACATCGTCTATTGATCAACCTCTTCACTTATTTACAAATGTAAATCTTCAACACTTGTCGCGAGATGAATTTTCAATAGAAGACTCCGTCAACCGTTTAATTTTGAGACATTTAAATTTAGGGACAAGAAGGTGCACTCTTTCATAGATGATGATTGGAGTACTCAAAATACGCATTCATTGTACCAGATTTTAAAGTGTAAGATAATGTTCAAGATCAATATAATATATATGTTTTAACCACCAACATGTGAATGCTGGTGGTTAGCAGAAAATCAAATAGGAATTGAAAAGATTGTTAATATGAAAACAATATTTATTTGAAAATTGGTTAAAATAAGACATTCATAAGGAGGACTGGTAGGAATTTCTCGTTAAAATTTTCTATTATAATAGTTCCAATATGAAAAAATATCACGGACATTGTTGTCAACGTATTTCGTAAACTACATTGCATTCAAACTAATATTTGTCGCTTATTTTATGCTACTTATCCAATTTATAAGTAGAGTCAATCGCCCTGTTTAAATAAATCAACGACCTAATCTATCAGTTCGAAGACAACAATAAAGATATGGTAGCAAATACGAGAGAGGGAGGCAACCAACAACCTACACTCAGAGAACGCTTATGTGTGCATCAGGAAGTACTGGCGCAGTAGACATGGGCTGAATGGTATGCATGTAATGTGTAAGAGACGGTCTGGTGCAGCAAATACCTTTCTAAGGAAAGTGGTCAACATCTACCCTACCAAGTGGGTCAATATACCTATATGTATGTTATGGGATGCATTTGGTAAAACCTGTGCGTTACAGGTCTGCATGGAACGCATACTCGCTCACAGGGAAGGTATACCTGTATATATATGAAAAAATACTCGCAGTGAAGTTTGTTTGCTACCTAGTATGTATGTAGACTAAACCTATCCAGGGTAAGTAAGAACTTCAAGCATCCTTTACTTGCTCTTCTTACGATACACATGCACGCAAAGATATGTGCGGTCGCGGTTCCCCACAAAACCACATCCAGGCAGTGAGTTTGTGAGCCTTGAGAACATGGAAACCATTCCAGAAGGGACGACTGGGGCCTCACTCGAAAAGGCTTTATTTACCAATCTGGTTGGAACACTGCACCACACTGTATCAGGATGAATTGTATTTAGATTAGCGCATAAATTGAGAGATTTCACTAATTGTTTAAAATATCATGGTTTTAAAAAGTAAACTATTGATACTTTCTTTTAGTTTATCACTGATAGAAACAAAGAAGTTGACTTACAAATATCGCGAAGAATGTACCGAGCATTAAAGCTTAAGTAGTCAATAAAGCGGATTTGCTTCGTATATTTGGTATTTCCCACGAATATCTCAGAGCAAGTTTAAAATAAATATGTACAAGGCGCATAGTGAATTGTGACGCTACAAAATCGATTAAACTGGATGAATAATGCGATCCCGTTCTGTATTTTATACATATTTAGTATAACAGTTGGCTGGTCAAGTGCACCGAAATCTTAATCAGTGATTCTCATAACCTGTATTATCATCAGAAATCTTGGCTTAAATCACCGAACTCAACAACTTAAAAATACTATCAATTCAAACTTATTGACTCTATTATTTTAGAGACCATGAGAGTGGATGGTACTCATAAACTGAAGTTAAAACAGAAGCTTCCCATTAAGCTCATTATTTAAGTGTGAATCAAAGTGTGTCACCCAATAATGAGAGATACATTGTTCAGAGCTCCAAATACAAAATGCTACTTATTCGTAAACGACTTTGGAAGTAACGGCGGATAACTATCGATGAAATATAGTGAAGGTCCATATTTTTTGCAATGGGAGCCAAGATTATTCGATTTAAATTCCTTCTGGTTTTTAAAGTCGTATTATTGTATGAAAACCAGTAATAATAAACGAGTCAAAATCATAATTTATCGATGATACTCTAGAAAACCTTTTCTTCAGTGAAAACAAAAGTCAGTTTACTAATAAATAATAAATTAGCAATTTTTGTTCCGTAAATACAGTGTATTATGTACAATAATACATAAAATTCAGGAGAAAATGTATAAACATATTTATACATACAAAAATAGATGCATAAATTTGCATACTGATAGGCTGGAGAACAAATGAATCCGACAATTCTGACTTATTCAGGCTCCAATAATATGTAAGGATGTTCATCCCAAAACTGATCTTTAATGATATCGATATTGGCTTGTTCAATGGCAGACTGTTTACAAAATATTGGAGAAAAAATGTGGTAGTAACAATCAACTCTGTCACACATTTTAGATAAAAAGAATGTACTATGATACAAAAGGGAAGTAAGTGAGAAGACCATGACAGGCAATTATTGACGTAGACAATTCAGATGACAGTTTACCAGCAACTCCGTCTGGTTAACATTATTCAAGTGAAGAGTTTTCAACTGAATTGACGCCTTTCTTTTATACGCTATTGAATTACAGATATTGACAATAAGGTGCCCGTATGGAGATAGTCGACAATAAATCCTGAATCTAGATTTTGTACTACAGGTCACTTGCCAGCAAGGTGTGCCTGTAATCTTGATGGCACTGATGCTCCCTGGTGGGTTCGATTTCGTGTTATCCATTTTCAGTCAGAGACGTCACTGAGATATTCGGGTCGCAACTGACCCACGGTAGGACTGAGATGCATTTACAACTGGTCGATAACTGAGTAGTAATCAATGTCATGTATGCCAAGTCCTTCTTCCCGTCGACCGGATTCTATAGAGTTACATGGAGTAATGCCGAAATCACAACCTAACATAGAATTTCATATGCACCAGGAAAGACTTAGCATAAATATCATTGGTCACTACTTGGAGATTAATCGATTACAAAGACTACGACAATGACTTTTGACCGATAGAATCATTTGTAAAAAATATCAATTTGAAAAATCCAGCTTAAGTTGGATATCACTAATGAGGACTTGAAGAAAGGTGAATATTTGTTCGATACATTTACAATCAACCTGACTGTTTTTTTCGAATGAAATGATCATGAACATCAGTTAAACAGTGCCTAATTATGAAGATCAACATAATAGAAATCACATCATTCAAGGCGATTCGTTAGTGAATAAAATAGTGGTTTTATTTTTAAAGTTAAGTTTATCTGTGACCGACATTAGTTATATGGAACAAGCCTCAACCAATTCCATTGATAAGCACGGACTTTTGTCTCTGAAAATGTCTGAATTTGACTAGTTAGAATCCGCCTCTTTCTCACCTAGTTATTTACAAATACGACGACTTTTCTAAGTTGGAAACTAGGTGTCATTGTTGTTTCGCTAACCTCAGCCTCTTTGATGAGCTCAAATCGCCTCTGCAACATTAGCTTATGCCACTGACTTCATTCGCGCCTTTTGTTGTTAGTCTCTGAAGACCAGGTTTTTGTCAGTAATCAATTGTAATGCTTGCAGTCCTCAGAAACAGGTTTCAGGACATTCGTGAATTCGGTAGAAGTTTCCGAAATCCAATGATACTTACCAACAAATTATTCTTAATTAATAACACATGTGTCATACCAGACTTTTAATTTTACCAGGCTACTTCAAGATAAATACATTCATCACTTCGTGATACAGTATCTCTGAACGAAGGATAGTTATAACGAGTCACAGTCTGTCCGGATAGAGACACAAAGATCATACAACCGAATGGTTCGAATACGTTCGTACACTAAGTATTGTGTGTTGGTACATAAACAGTAGGATTTATCTTAATTGCAGTAGAATATTCTACTTATCCTAAAGTGTAACCATTGTGTTTCTATGGTCTACATCAATGATATAATATATATGCCACGCGGTGATTCCTATTACATTTAATCGTTGAAAATATTATTAATTAATAAGCACAAATCATCCCGTCAAGAAATAAAACTACCACAGATTGTATAACCAACTAAGAAATCACTCTGATATCGAGTTAATGGTCAAAACAATGAATCCTAACAGTTTTCTCATTAATATCATGGAGATGAGGGGATAAGAGCAAGTTAATTAATTATTTATAAAAATAAAAACTTTGTATTTCAACTTACATTATTTCTAAATAATACAGTGCCTTTGCGAAATAGTTCTGGTTCATTGTTATAATTACAGTTGAATTGTGAAAACAATAACTCATTTTTGTCACTTGATAACGTTCCCTGTAACAGGTAAATCAATAGTATATATACAGCAATGGGACTTAATGATTTTTTGACATTATGGCATATTGCTTGTTTCGATGTCCATCAGGATTATCAAACAGATAGGATATAACAAAACACCTATTTTATAGACTTTATAGGCCATTCTAATAACAAGTCATGGTTAGAACTAATTACAACCGAAAAAAGTAAAGTGTTACTAGTTTCTTCATGATTTATATTTTCATCCTTGACCAATAAATTCTTAATCTGGTTTTGGTGGAATATTTTGTATTGCTTTGATTCCTTAATATTTTGAGATGAGAATGTCATAGGCTCTACCCTGTGCAAGGTTTGAAGTGCACAATTTCGAGGAGTCCCATCTGTCCAACAAATCTTGATCTCACTCAAGCAAATCAGTCTATAATCTATCTTCAATTTAAAACAATCTTCTCCAATTTGTTATTTTACTGTCTAAAATTCTTTAAGAAATATTGTGTTTTCTAAACTGGTTTGTTTAGTCATGGAAATTTGGTTGTTTTTATATCCGAAAAAACACACCATCTTTATAATCCCTATCTTGATCAATAATTATTCTTCATTATTTAAAATGTGTTTATTAGACATTCCCAAATTCTAATCTCCTGAATCCTTCTTGTCTCTTTTTTTCTCTTTCCAAATTTATTTAACTGGATTATACTTTTGAAATAACATATTCAAACCCTAATCTTTCCAATTACTGCTTATACTCTTACCGCCTCTATCACTACGGGATTTGAATCGACAACTGCATCTCTGTGCTAATGTGGTGTAACAACTCGAACTGATGTACGTACGAAGTTCTACGTTGTTACTGACTGACATTCAGAGATCTTTATACATATTAATTGCATCATTTCAATTACTCCAGTAATTTTAAAAAAATCAACTGATTTGCTGGATAATAAAAATCACATAAATATCAAGTAATTTTAATGTTACACTAATAAAAACTGTTCTAAGAATTTACATTTTCGTGATCACGATCACCTCGCAGTAAGATTAATCAAAGGTCTGGTGAAAAAAGTAAACAACTCGATAATAGCCCATTTAATGCAAACTGGTCATAGTGCCAGTATAAACTAATCCTTTTCAATTATTTATCGAGTCAGTAATATTTTTTCAAAGCTTTACAAATTTAAAGTCCTTCAAACGGCTGAAGCTATGCGTAAAAAAGGAATATCTTCAAGCTCTTCTCCTTCTATGATCAACCTTAAGGCCAATTAATTCATAGTAATCTTAGTTACTGAATGACCTAATTTGGCTACTGTACTTACGACCTTTCGTGGTCAAATACATTTGTCAGAAGGGGTTTGTGGAGATTTTAGAAATTTCACAGATTGAAATCATGAGTCAGTTGAAGCTAGATCACCATGGAAAACCTGGAGGCACTGGACGGCCGTTTCGTCCTAGTGTGGGACTCCTCAGCAGTTAGCATCTACGATCCCACACCCCGCAGGATTCGAACGCCGGACCTACTGGCTTCGCGCGCGAGCACTAAACCATACTAGTACGAAACGGCCGTCCAGTGCTTCCAGGTTTTCCATGGTGGTCTAGCTTCAACTGACTCATGATTTCAATCTGTGAAATATAATTGTCTCTGTTATATTTATTCACAAATCTTTCTATTATTATTATTACTGGTTAAACATAATTATTAATCTTCCCAGTACATGATTCATTTACTTCGTATTCATCCCACCTTATTATGTCTTACTAATAATTTTTTACACAATTTAGTCTTCCATTAAACAGTTGATCAAATTTTAATTGTATTATTATTTCTCACATTCTATCTGATCCATTATTTATTCTGATCGCGGATCATAAAATTTTCACTCAACATATAAGCTGATCTAAGTTAACATTCTATACGAGTCGCATATCAACATATCAACAATTTTATTCTATTTTATTTGACAATCCTAAATTCACATGTTATAATAACTTGAATTGATGAATTTTGCCCTCAATCTAACCATTTTACAGATTATTAATTAAGATATACAATTGTAGAACCTAAATAGAATTTATCTTTTATATTCTTCATTCAAATATTAATCTTTCTATATGATAGGAATGTTTAGACAATTAAAATGTTAATTTTTTTTTGTGTTTTTAAATCTATGCAAAATACTCATTAATTAAACATCATTCACAATTTCAAATTTATGCGCATTTTGTTGTTGTTGTTGTTGTTGTCTAATTAAGTTCTAATAACACAAGTTTTGAATAGATGTTCTATTGATTAATGAATGAATGAATCAATGATATGTGATTAAGTTTATCTGCGATTTTGATATCAGTAATTGAATAAGTTAAGATTAACATTATTATACACTCCCCCTCTTTTTTTTAAAAAAAATCAATAAAAAAAACCTGATTAAATTTACATAAAGAAAAAAAACAAAGTGATTTGTATTTAAACGTCATTGATTTTTTTTCAAAATTTATTTTTTTACAGTCTATGAAAACAAATTAAGAAGTGTAAATTAAATTTGAATAGAAATGATAATATTTAAAATTAAATAACTTGAAGCAATTTTATAATTATTAAGTTGATAGATTTCTTGAATTGAACTGATTTAGACCATCATTGAAAGTCTGGAAACATTGGATAGCTGTTTCATCCTAATATGGAACTCCTCAGAAGTGGGCATTCATGATCCTATACTAAAAACACTCTAACGCAGGACCTTCGGTCTCTCATGAGAATAATTAACCTCTAGACCACTGAGCTAGCTGGTATCCAACGATGTTAATATCTAACTTAAACTAGTCCATGATATTGCGTGACTATCCACCATTGTCTTCAGTGAATAACTGTCTCACAACAGACACGGTTGAACTTCACGACTTCCCACCAGATCTTCAGGAAATCCATTTTGAAACCCATCACTAGTGAGCACATGATTATTATTATTAGAATGAGGGTTTGTGGAGATTGTAGACTGAAGGTCTTGGGTTCGAGTCCCATGTGTGTGATCATGGATATGTACTGCTGAGGAGTCTCGTACTAGGATGAAATATCCGTCCAGTGCTTCTAGGTTTTCAATGGTGGTCTAGCTTTAATCGACTCATAAATCCAACTATTAACATTACTACAATCTCCACAAACCCTTATTCTGATGATGGATTTCTGTTGCTTTGACTATGAAGTGAAAAGTTTTTAATTTCAAATATTAGTTTACAAGTTCAAGTATCGCATCTCTCATCTATTTCAATTTTGACAGTCAGGTAATATCGCTAGACCTCACCATCCTAAGAACGTGGTTCAAAGCCAAATACACAAATATGTACATAGTAAATCAGTTAGGAAAATACAGCCGGCGATAAACATTCGACTGAGAGTCAGAAAACATGGTAATAAAAGCAACACTAATAATTATTAATATAAGGTTGTGAAGATTGTTGAATTTCTAGTTTATACACGATGAGTGTACTATTACACTGAATAAAAGAACTAACGATTTTATCCGTTTTAATATGGATTGTAATGATATTCAATCATTTCATGAATTAATGCCATCCAACGAATTATTTACACCAATTTTATGCAAAGTCAACGATAGAATATTAAGATAGAACATCGTTTAGTATGAGTGAAGTATACTTCAATCCTCCATTTTACCAGAAACATTCATTCTTAAGCTCTATCGGATAAAAAAAGTTGCCCCAAGTGACCCATCACAAAACTAACATGATGATTTAAAGTAATGAAATTCACTGATTGTCATGTGGAAACTAAAAACAACGATAAATTGACTAGTAATTTATATTTGTTTCACTGAGTAACGAGAATATCATAAAGCTACAAACAGTCTATACCAGTTAGAAAAACTTATTTATTTAGTGGAAATACATTTTTAAATAAACATGAAAACGATGTATAAAAATGTTGATAGGCCAGGATAGCTTAGTTCAAGGACAAATAAAATAATGATTTAGCATATTAGATATCACCAAATTGAAGTGCTCATTTTCAATCTAGTTACTTCCTGTCGGAAATGAACATCAATGATCAAATCTATATGTCAGAATTTCATGTTATCTGATATCAGCAGTCATGCTTTTTAGGTATGTTGTAAAATACAACATCTTGTCTTACCGTCAACTCCTTTGCATAAACATAACTAATAGAGGCCATAGTTTGTTTGAGCTGATTGTTTGGTAAAAAACTTTCGCTGATAAAACTTGATGATGCGATTATTTTATGGAAATTAAAAATCGTTAAGCACACTGTACTGTTATTCCTGAGTGCATAAACATGGTGAGATAGGTGTTATGATCTGCACTTCGGTCACAACCTACAATGAATATAGCCTAAACAATTTGCTTAATTGAACGATCTAATCATAGAACGATAATTAAGTAAAAAGTTTACTCTAACATGAAAGATAACATCTATTCTGTATGTAGATTATGAAACTGACAAATAATTTAATCAGTTTCTAACTGATAGATAACAAATGAACTAGACAAGATTTAACAAGCTACTCTGTATCTCAAGATTCTATGGTAAGTCATACATAAGCTTCGGTGAAATAATAGATCATCCATCTAATCGAGGTCATCATCAATCTCATAAGTTCACGTCAAAATCAATCTGTTTAGCAATAAATACAATACCAGCTCTAAATTTATTTCACTCAATAATGTAACCGCTTCCAACCCAATATATCGTTTCCTTCTTATTGATTACCTTGGTCAATAGTTAATAGTTAAATCACACTTTAGGTGGTAACGCATTAATCGATAAACTAACCATTTGACGATAAATGCTAAAAATAATTGTAAACATTATAGAAACAACTTTCTCTTAAATTATTTTGTAAAAGAAGAAAATTCCAGGGTACGTTATAAACTGTTTACATATAATAAATGTGGTATTAATGGACACATTGATCCGTTATCTATCACATTTCGGAATAACTATGATTGATTAATACTGAAGTTCATTTATTAAATGACAGAAAGTT